GATGAAAGGATTTTTTTAATTTAGACTAAATTGGTATATTAAGTTCTATGAGGACTCAACAATATATGGATGAAGCCTGCAGTCTGTGTACTTCTATACCAAACATGTGCGACCGTCGTTTATAACCATAGAACAGTAACCGGCTGGCATTGCCAGATCAGATGTCTAATAACCTTAACTGACAGTTTCACCACATGAATATTCCAATTCCATGTTAAGATATCTACATATGAAAATTTTCAAATTAAGAACTTTAATTACATATTCTGGTTATAAATGGGTACAGATGGGCACAGTTTTGGATTTGCAGTTTCTATCAATGAAGGTGCGCAGTATATTTACAGGGATGTTCACTGTTGTACTGTATACTGGGGTATTTTTACTGCAGTTAATTTGCACCTTTTTCACCCTCTGTAACGAGGGCAAATTTATCATTACAGCAAACCTATGTAAACGAAATATTTTACAAAGTAACTGAATGTGAGAGCAAATTCAATATTGGGCAAATATGGATTTTACTGTCAAATGGCAAAAGTTTGACTGGGCGAAAAAAATCCCAGTATACAATAATAAATTCAACCAAAGTATCCTAATTCCTATTGTGATGAAGAAAGAGTTCTCAACCCAAAGATAAAGGTTTTAAAGCTCTGTCAAGTGCTAAACTTTATTTTTGTTTATCCTGCAGCTGGGAGTCCCGTCTACATCACACAGTTAGCATTTCTTTTTTTATTTCCTTACACACTTTCCTGTAAGAACAAGTTTTTAATGGTACGTATACACACAATGAACCGCACCATCACCAAGGACACATGAAGTATGTGACAAAATTGATGACATGACCCTAGTTATACTGAATTAAGTGATAATGCACTGGTGTAGATAGGTAAAGACTAATAAAATCATCTCCTACCTTGAGGGTGAAATCTCCAATCCGAGGGGCGATATATTTGGTTGCCTCACCCGAGGCTATCATCCTGAGGGTTGGAGATTTATCTGTTTCACCCTCGAAGTATTGGATGATTATTTATTGTCACAACTCAACTGACAGTACTCCTTTTCGTAAACGAAAACATATTTGGTGTATGTATGTTTGCTGTTCACCTTTTTATGATATTACAATCACCATTCAATTTTTAATAAGAGGTCACAATTTAGCATATGCTTTTTTGCACGAGGTTATCTCCCCCTAGCAGATGTTCTCTCTCAACTGAAACTGGAGACATACATGTACCAGTGAAAGGTGGGAGAAAGGTCTATCTTTTTACCTTTTGCAAAAACAGGAACATACCTGTTAAGTGTGGAGAAACATTTGTCGCCTATGGATCACTCCTATGGAATGTGTGGGAGAAACATTTGTCCCCCGTGGATCACTCCTATGGCATGTGAGGGAGAAACATTTGTCCCCCATGGATCACTCCTATGGAATGTGTGGGAGAAACATTTGTCCCCCATGGATCACTCCTATGGAATGTGTGGGAGAAACATTTGTCCCCCGTGGATCACTCTTATGGAATGTGTGGGAGAAACATTTGTCCCCCATGGATCACTCCATGGAATGTGTGGGAGAAACATTTGTCCCCCATGGATCACTCCTATGGAATGTGTGGGAGAAACATTTGTCCCTCATGGATCACTCCTATGGAATGTGTGAGAGAAACATTTGTCCCCTATGGATCACTCCTATGGAATTTCCGTACCCCATATGGGTGTACACAGTGACCTTAACTATTAGAGTGCCTTAATCAGATAACATCTTTAGTCTGACGTCACAATTAATAATATGTCAAAATGTTGTTTAAAAGATTATTTTGATGTTGTCCACTGACACCATTTCATAGAAATAAGAACTATTGCATAAGCTTGCCATGAAGGTCTTTCATTCTTTAAGTGTGAGATGTAAATTTGGCCTTCGTTTGCAGTACATTATCTAGAAGTTTTTCTTTCCTCAGTGTTTCACTTGCATTAATGTTTTCATGTTTTACTAAAATTTCAGGTTGGAGTGGGAAAAAGAGTTTATCATTGAGCTTCAAATTCTAACCTTAGGTATTAAATTTGACGTAAGAACCTTTGAAAAGACTCAGATCTGACCGAAAATCTACATTTCTACCAACACAAAATCTACATTTCTACCAACACCCCTTGGAGATTTCAAATTCCTTAAAACCACATTTTATGATAGACATACATGTAACAAGTGAAAATAAACCTTTAACAATCAAGTTTATTAAAATTGTCAAATAATCAAAGGTCAGAAAGGCAAATGCAGTATTTGAAATATACAAAACCAACCATAGCCTATGTAAAATAATCAAAGGTCATGGCAAATGTAGTATTTGAACTATACAAAACCAACCATAGCCTATGTAAAACTTAAATCTGGTTTGTATCCATTCTGAGCCCCAACTAAACTGATTCAAATTGATGACCCATCCTATCTACATCCTAATCTTCCCACTCACAGACTTTTGTTAAAACCTGCAAGTATTTCACTACAGTTCTAGCTCGACTAAAATAGCCTGTTTGGGCCTAAATAGTCCTCCATGCAGACTGCTTTTGTTAGCTTTACTGTAGCCCTTATCTAGTAGCCAACTTGATTGTTTAAAAAATGAACACATTTTTTGAATAATTCTTTTGAATTTGATTTCTCTTATGGCTGGCTGAACCATTTAGGACCCCATCAACTTCACTGCATATCACTAGCGGACATTGGATCTCATTCTTGTATTTTGAAGAATTATTGTCAACACATTAAAGATTTTTTGGCTTCCAGACATGTGTTAATAGAAACTTTATCCCTAGAAAGGTTTAGGATTCAAGATGGCTGAAGTGGCATCTGATAAGCTAAGATCTATTTAACTTGTATTTTATTGGAAAACATTTATCACACTTAATAGAAATTGCATTTACAGGCATCCTTGATACTCTAGAGGTAACACTCACTTTCCCTCTCTGCACCCCTGGAATATGTTATAGCATAATCGAAGGCTCAGTGTGCGCCACTTTGTAGATGAGAGATAGAACTAGTTTTATCCTTTGATGTACATCAAAAGAATCTGTCAGTCTTATCAGTAAAATTGACAGTCTTTGAAGTCTGTTGTCACTCCCTGTAATCTTCAAAGGCCTACCAATGGATCAGGTTTTTTCACCGAGACCAATCAAAATGCTGACCACATGCGACTGTCATGCTTAAATTTTGCGATGACATTTTCAAGGGGTGCAGAGAGCAAAAAGTGAGTGTAACCCCTGGAGTATCGAGGATGATATACAGGGTATTTAAGTTTTTCCCTTTTGCTATGAACTGTGATTGGTTAAGACAGTTTGGGATATACATTGAGTTTCATTTTGTGCGGACCTTTTCCGTACGTTTCATCATATGAAGGGGTTAAACTCTAAACAAACTACCGCCTGTTAGATTTCAAGAATTCAAGATGGCTGCCTTGGATTAACAATCATTTAAGTTTATATACAAAGTTCTACTCTACTAACTTGTCCAAACAATGTTGAAATGATCCGCTGGGATTTACTTTATATCAAACTTTAATGTTGGGGGTTCGAGGTGGCTGTTATTTATGGCCTCTGAATCGCTAAAATATTTCAATGAATTATGAACTGAGGATCAGCTGACAGACCACCATCTTTTGTGATTGCAGGGAGAAAATGAAGGGCTTTGTTTCAGTTACTACTAGTTCTCATTGAAATGTTATCAATTATTAAAATAAAGCACCATGCAATTTACACAATGTCATTAAGTGTTCATTTCGTGGAGCAAGGCACTAGAGTTCATTTTATTATTTCCCTGTCGGTAGTTATACGATGGAGAATGTTAATTAGCACTCAGCATATCTTGTATAGTCTGTCATCTGCAATTGCTAAAAACTACAAGATTATCCACTTGGTATGACAGTATCGGATACTGAAAATGGTAATGTGCTCCACTAAGTACAGAGTTATGGCCCTTTGTTTACCTCTTGCCATTTGTCTGGGGAATGTAGTCTAACACAGTAGATTTCGCTTAACCCTTTCACCCCTATGTGACTTTAGTAAACTCTTCCATGCATTGATCTGGAGGAGTCCATTAGGGTCTACAGTGGTGAAAGGATTAATATCATTTCTCATTTGTCAGAGGAAACATGATACTAAACCGGAATGTGACATAAAAAGAGGACAATCTAAAATCTCTGCATGTGAGTACGTAGTAGGGATGACAGAGTTATAGCTCTTTGAACTTTTTTGGTTCTTATGTTTTTCATAGGTGGGAGACTACTGATAGTTAGTAATACTACGCCTTATTTATATAGTAAAATACCCAAACATATCTGGTTCCAAATAATGGCTAACATGTTGACAATTTTTCAAAATGTAAAAATTAAGTAAAGGGTGAACATTTCATAGTGTTCTATAGGGGCAAAGAAACCTCAAATCAGATTACCAAAAATAGGACGATGTCTTCTGCCGTTACGTCCATGCTAGGTCTCGATTATTTAAGTGAAATATTTGCAAAGTTTGAAAAAAACAACTTTGGCAGAGCAGACCCTTATAAAAACAAGAGGTCCATTGGACCTGTATCGCTCACCTGGTTTTATATATAAGTCATTACAACTGAATGCATTAGTACATCTTTATATGAAATTTCCTCAAAACCAGACAAGATCTATGTTCTAACCTAATATCAGACTTTCAACAAATCAGGGGCCTCCATTGAGTCTTCATGTTAACAGATTTTGAAATAAGTAATATGTCATATTAGAGGGTGTAATTAGACAATACTTTAATTTTCATTCAACTATAAGCTTTTATAAACCTAGAAACCAATTTTTTAACAACTTATGAAAACTACACCATAGAATATGATAATCTAGCTGTACCATTTCTTAGGACCGGAGGGGTCAAATCAACCTAATTTATTTAAGAAATGATTGCCCTCTCCTAGTGATGCTTCAGACTAAATTTGGTTGAAATCCTCTTTGGCGTTTAGGAGGAGATAGGTTTTAAAGAAAATGTTGACGACGGATGCTGCGCCACGGCATAAGCTAACTATGGTCCTTCGGACCAGGTGAGCTAATAAATGTTAGCTGAAACCCCATTTTGTAGTATGAATAGAAGGGTCCTCTGAGTTAGAGAACAGAGATAACTCTGAAAACAATTCATGGGTATGTATAAGGTACATTCATGTATGTAGCATATACAATTTTCCTCCTATGTACCTATATTCTCATTTCTGGTATTTATCTTTCTCCATCTTTTCCAAATATTTTAAGACCTTCATTTTATCTGGGCGAGTTTTCATGGGATGTTTACCAATGAGTGGCTGTGAGCTAATAAAATTAGGATCAAATTGAAGTTGCTTGCTTAGAGTTTTGAAGCGTTTTTCTGACATTCCTCCTTTCTTCAAAAATTTGATTAGGTCTAACATATCATTATTCTTGTCGTTCGGTTTTTCATCTCTCTTTGGTGACTTAGCACTATCTGACCTGGCTGCTGGCTTTTCGAGTTCCTGTTTTTCAGGATTATCAGATGATATTTTTCTCTTGAGAGTTTGCATTTCAAGTTTCCTTTTCTGAGCTAGATTCAGTTTTTCGAACAAACAAGCTTTTAATCCATCTTCTATCCAAATCTCTAGCTCTTTCTGGATCTCACGAACCCTTTCTTCATCTTGGTAGATGTTGGGGTAACACTTGCTGTAATGACAAACATGTAGATCAGGTTTTACAATGTATGTATCAATTTCTTTTGATAGGTTTCAATGTGATATTTTAAATAAGAGGCACAATGGGCCTGCATGGCTCACCTGGTATTAATCTTGAAAGCCTTACAAGGTCATTAAGTTGAACAAATTCTATAGCCCTTCATCTCAGCATGCAACTTGCAAAATATCACCACCCTAGACGTGTTTATTAAGATGAGGTCATTTAAATGTTTATACTAATTCTACTATATAGGTGACCTTAAAAGTGCATGCTACTGGCAAAACATCACTGCCCTATGTATTTGAGTTATTCAGAAGAAGTTGTTTTAATTTTCAACACATTTTACCCCTGTGACCTTGAATATGAGTGAAGGTCATTCATTTAAACAAACTGGGCTACCCTTTATCCCTGTATGCTACAGGCTTAATATCATCACCCTTGCCATTTTGGTTATTTAGAAGAAGTCATTTAAAGATTTTCACATATTTGACCCCTGTGACCTTGAATATGGGTGAAGTTCATTCATTTGAACATACTGGATATACCTTAATCCCTGCATGTTACTGGCTAAGTTTTTTCACCTTGGGTCTTTGAATATTCAGAAGTTGTTTTTAAGACAAATGACCCCTGTGACCTTTATTATGGATAAAGGTTAAGCTTTTGGACAAACTGAGGAGCCCCTTCATTCCAGCATGCTACTGACCAAATATCATCAACTTGGCCATTTCTGTTACTCAGTAGAGTTTGTTTAGTTTAAAGTTTTGACATATTTGACCTGTGTGACCTTGAATATAAGCCAAGGTCATTCATTTGAACCAACTTGGTCACCCTCTATCCCAGCATGTCACTTGCCAAATATCATCACCTGAATCATTTCGGTTATTCAGAAGAAGTTGTTTAAAGGTTTTTTAAGACAATTGACACCTATGTTCTTAAACATAGGTCAAAGTCATTCATTTCAACAACCTTGGAAGCTCTTCATTCCAGCATGCTGCTAGCCAAATATCATTACCCTAGGCTTCTTGGTTATTTAGAAGAAGTTGTTTAAAAGTAAAAATTTGGTGCCGAATGGATGGACGGATGGACAATGGATGCCATTCCGTGGCATAAGCTCACTTGGCCCTTTTGGCCAGGTGAGCTAAAAAAACGAATTCTGTTCTAAAGCCTCATGTGTTGCTTGTGTTTGTCTACATGAACCATTGATTTGTTATTGTTTTTGTTTACCTGAGTCACTGTTTTGTTTCTATGTTTTTATCTACCTGCTTTTTTTTGTCTACCTGAACCATTGTGTTATTGGTATATTTTTTATATTCACCTGAGCTATTCATTGTTTTGTTGGCGTGTTTTTATCTCTCTGCTTTATTTTTATTTACCTGAACCATTGGCTTATTGGTATATTTTTATTTATTCATTTGAGCTGTTCATTGTTTTGTTGGTGTTGTGTTTTTGTCTATTTGAACCATTATTTAATTGCTATGATTTGTATTCACCTGAACAGTTACTGTTATTGCTTGTGTATTACCTGCTCCATTATATTGCCTGCACACCTCAAAAGTATTATGTTTAGGAAACTAAGTCTCAAGATGACTGCTCTGTTATATTGCCTGCAGTTATCCGCTACATAAAAACAATATGCAAAGAATACCTGCAGGTTCATTACCAACGTTGTATACATGTAGCTCCCACCTGTATTTATCTAGACATTTCACAATATTAGTAATCAAATCTTTCAATTTAGACAAAATATGAATTGTATTCTCTTTATATATCAATAGCCCTACTCATTATTCTGATAAAACAGCCTAGTCGACTCCTAGTTCTGCACTAGTCATACCATAGAGACGATACAATACCCTGCCAGTGATATTAACCATTTTTCAGGCATAAGTTCGAAGATAAAACTTGAGAATTTCTGTAATTTTGTTGTGGTTTTGTTGATGATTAAGAAATATACAAATACAAACAAGAGATCCCAGTGAAATCTTGGCGCACACCATTGTATCATCTTCATTAGTTCTATGTCAGTTTGATCTTTTCTCATATTTTCTCTCTTATCTGTTTGACCAAGTCATGTATACAGTAAATGCACCTTGAGGTAGTTTTTGATCAAGACTTCATACTGCTATGTTTAAAATACTGCTATGTTTAAAAGACAACCTTCAATGTGAGTTTATCATCGCACATATTTACTAGTACAGTACTTAAAAAGAAATAGCACCAATCACTGCAATATGAGAAAGACCTGTTAAGTTCTTCCAGCAGCCATCATTTTTATGATCAATCTCAAAATAAAGCACGACAACTAAGGACCAAGAGGAACCAATATATCAAACTTGGGAAGATACCTCAAGTACTTTCTGAGAATTAGCAATAACAATCATTAAATGTAAAAATCAAAGATGGCCACCAGTCAGCCATATTGTTTATCCCATAAGTCTCAAAAGGTAACATGCACTAAAAAGATCAAGGGGAACTTACATATCAAATCTGAGAAAGATCTATCAAGTACAAAGTACAAATATACTGTCAATATCCAAGATGGTCGCAGGGTGGCAATTTTGTTTATCTGATCAGTATTAAAAGTAAACGTGCACAACTTAAGACCAAGGGGGAGTTTACTTAAGTTACATAGGGGTGAAAGGGTTAAGGACCATGGGGAACCTTCAGATGAAATTTTAGAAAGATCCCTTTAGTACTCTCTGAGGAATAGCGCTAACAAGCTTTACCTCTACCAATTCAAGATGGTGCCTGTTGGCCATCTTGGTTTTTCTGATTAGTCCCAAAATTTGCTATGCATAACAAGGGACCGTGGGGAACCTTTATTGGAAATTTGACAAAGATCCCTCCAGTGCTTTCTGAGAAATAGCGCTAGCAAGAACTGTTAAAAGATGGATGGAATGACTGACCATGGACCACGGACAACGGGTGATTTGAATAGCCAACCATCTGATGATGGTGGGCTAAAAATATCACATAGCCTGCAGTTTAAACTGGGTTTTTTTAAAAACATTTTGGCACATTGTCCCCTATATCAGATAGCCAGCAGGGGTCATTTTTAAAATGTAAAAAGACGTATAGCTCATGATCAATAGCCAAGAAATTGCGTTATTCTCTAACAGTGTAATTTCCCTACCTGAACAGTTATAGCCTCACTGCATAATTTCCCTACCTGAACAGTTATACTCTCACTGTGTAAATTCCCTACCTGAACAGTTATACTCTCACGGTGTAATTTCCCTACCTGTACAGTTATACCCTCACTGTGTAATTTCCCTACCTGTACAGTTATACCCTCACTGTGTAATTTCCCTACCTGTACAGTTATACTCTCACTGTGTAATTTCCCTACCTGAACAGTTATACTCTTACAGTGTAATTTCCCTACCTGAACAGTTATACTCTTACAGTGTAATTTCCCTACCTGAACAGTTATACTCTCACTGTGTAATTTCCCTACCTGTACAGTTATACTCTCACAGTGTAATTTCCTACCTGAACAGTTAACCTGTTACAGTGTAATTTCCCTACCTGAACAGTTAATCTGTTTCAGTGTAATTTCCCTACCTGAACAGTTATACTCTCACTGTGTAATTTCCCTACCTGAACAGTTATACCCTCACTGTGTAATTTCCCTACCTGAACAGTTATACCCTCACAGTGTAATTTCCCTACCAGAACAGTTATACTCTCACTGTGTAATTTCCCTACCTGAACAGTTATACTCTTACAGTGTAATTTCCCTACCTGAAAAGTTATACCCTCACTGTGTAATTGCCCTACCTGAACAGTTATACTGTCACAGTGTAATTTCCCTACCTGAACAGTTATGCTCTCAATGTGTAATTTCCCTACCTGAACAGTTATACCCTCACTGTGTAATTTCCCTACCTGAACAGTTATACTCTCACTGTGTAATTTCCCTACCTGAACAGTTATACTCTTACAGTGTAATTTCCCTACCTGAACAGTTATACTCTAACTGTGTAATTTCCCTACCTGAACAGTTATACTGTCACAGTGTAATTTCCCTACCTGAACAGTTATACTCTCACTGTGCAATTTCCCTACCTGAACAGTTATACTCTCACTGTGTAATTTCCCTACCTGTACAGTTATAGCCTCACAGTGTAATTTCCCTACCTGAACAGTTATACTCTCACTGTAATTTCCCTACCTGAACAGTTATACTCTTACAGTGTAATTTCCCTACCTGAACAGTTATCCTCTCACTGTAATTTCCCTACCTGAACAGTTATGCTCTCACTGTAATTTCCCTACCTCTTACAGTGTAATTTCCCTACCTGAACAGTTATACTCTCACTGTGTAATTTCCCTACCTGTACAGTTATACTCTCACTGTGTAATTTCCCTACCTAAACAGTTATACTCTTACAGTGGTTTGATGCCTACCTCAACCATAAATACACATCAAGGCAGTTGAAGATTGTCTCCATGTCTTTTAGATCAGCAACTGTTGTTGGCATCTCCAGTGGCCAGCCTAGGTGAGAGGTTAGCCAGCTTATACTGATGGGCTCTTCATAGAAGTGTTTCGTGGCACACTGTGAAAACAAACAAACCCTGTTTCGATTCATACATGGATATCTTGTAAATATGGGCCTTAATGATCAACCGACTCTTGATGTAAAATATATGGCTGCAATAACCGTGGACAAATTATATATTTATGCCTGTACCACTGTACCTATTGAAACGATAAGCTCTGTCATTTATAAGGGTTCTTTTAGATTAGTCCTAAATAATCCTTGGTTGAAGGTGCAGTGGTGGTCAATTGGTTAAGGTGTCTGACATTCTGCTACCACTAGCCCTCCACCACTGGGTCGGTGGCCAAGTGGTTAAGGTGTCTGACATTCTGCTACCACTAGCCCTCCACCACTGGGTCGGGCCAATTGGTTAAGGTGTCTGACATTCTGCTACCACTAGCCCTCCACCACTGGGTCGGTGGCCAAGTGGTTAAGGTGTCTGACATTCTGCTACCACTAGCCCTCCACCACTTGGTCGTGGGTTTGAGGCCAACGTGGGGAAGTTGCCAGGTACTGGCCGTGGGTCGGTGGTTTTTCTCCGGGAACTCCGGCTTTCCTCCACCACCAAAACCTGGCACGTCCTTAAATGACCATAGCTGTTAATAGGACGTAAAACACAAACACACCAACCCAAACCTAGTGAAATATGTGGTTGATATAGCTAATTGTGGCTTACTTAGTCAAAACCTGTTGAAATACAACTAGTACAATATTGAGTTCCCTTTAAAAAAATGTTGCTCAACACCATATAAAGTCAAAGTATCTTTATCTGTGCAGGAGGAGAATGTTCAGCTCCATTGTCATACTAGCTAATGCAACTGTGCAGTATCAATCAGCCAATCTTAAACATTTTCCTTGAAAAGCCTATTCCTCCTGAATACCTTTTCAGATTTTAACCAAATTAGCTTTGAAGCAGCCTTGGGACTAGGACATAAAACAGAAGTAAGGAATGATGTGGCCTCTTTTGGGTTCTGGGGTGGGGCCCAATAGGGAAAATAAAGGTAAAACAGTAAATTTGTATAGGCTACTGTACAGGTAAGTAAGTGTAGTGGACCCAATTACACACAACAAGGTCTTGTCTAACCTATACCTGAACAAAAAAATCACACTGCACTTCACTGTCTGTGTCAACGGGTACATGAGAATACTGGAACTTGTCTTTCGTTGGTAGTCCAATGTTGTCAATCAATTCTGCTAATTTCTTCATCTGATTCAGCTCACACATGAAAAAGTTTTCTTTGTCATGTTTAGCCATATGTTCAAACATTATCTGGAGAAAAAGAAAAGAATGCCTGCATGTATGTTTAACCAGAGGTCAACAAATCCTACAATTCTTATTTTAATTGTTGATATTTACTATGTTAAGTGAATGCTATTGTAAAAATTAAAATTAAACAATTGTGAAAAAACGTTTATCAACTTATCTACAATGTATATTTACATATGTCTACCGTACAATGTTATTATATGGCACAACATTTGAATCTACATTAACAAGGCAACCTAGAGTTAGAACAAGAGATCCCAGAGGGATCTTGGGCCCCTCCATTGTGTCATATTCATTAGCTTTATGTAAGTTAGATCTTTTCTCTTCTTTTGTCTTATTTGTTTGATGGAGTCATGTAAACAGTCAATGCACCTTGAGGTAACCATTTTGTTTATTCCATCAAATCTCAAAAGTAAACATGCACAATTAAGGGACAATGAAAAGCTACGTAACAAATTTGAGAAAGATCTTTCCAGTATTTCCTGAGAAATAGCGAAAACAAACATTCACTGTCAAAATCCGAGATGGTCGCCTCTCGGACATTTTTATTCCGATCAGTCTCAAAAGTAAACATTAGCCATCTTGGTTTTCTGTTCAGTCCTAAAATTTGATATTTATTACAAAGAACCTTGGACTTTCATGAGAAATTTGAAAATCATCCCTCCAGTACTTTCTGAGAAATAGAGCTAACAAACTTTAACTCTCAAATTCAAGATGGCTGGCTGTCAGCCATCTTGGTTTTGTGATTTGAGGAAAGATCCCTCCAGTACTTTCTGAAAAATAGCACTAATATAATTGTTTAACGGACAGACGACAGACGGACGGACCACGGACCATGGACGCAGGGTGATTTGAATAGCCCACCATCTGATGATAGTGGGCTAAAAAAAGCTGCTTTTGATTTCTTAACAAGTGATCTAAGTGGGATCTAGCACCCACCATCGTACCATCTTCATTAGTTCTGTGTCAGTTCGATCTTTCTCTAATTTTCTCTTACCTGGGCTTCTGTATCTTCTTTAAAATCTATATCCTTTAACCTGGAAATACTACTGACATTATTCTAAAAAGGTGAACATGTATTTATGGGTTTGGTCTTAACAGGTTACATCCATATTAGGGCAAGTGTCTTTACAGGTTACATCCATATTAGGGCAAGTGTCTTATCAGGTGACATCCATATTAGTTCATGTGGCTCATGAGGTGACAGCCTTATCGGATCATGTGATTTATTCAGGAAGGCATGTGTCTTATGAATTAACAGCCTTATCAGGGCATGTGTCTTATGAATGAACAGCCTTATCAGGGCATGTGTCTTATCAGGTGACAGCCTAACTGGGCATGTGTCTTATCAGGTGACAGTCTTATCAGGGCATTAGTCTTATTAAGGAAGGCATGTATCTTATGAGGAGACATCCACATTAGGGCATTTGATTTATTCAGGAAGGCATGTGTATTATCAGCTGACAGCCTTATTAGGACATGTGTCTAATCAGGTGACATACATATTAGTGCATGTGTCTCATGAGGTGACAGCTTTATCAGGGCATGTGTCTTATCAGGTGACAGCCTTATTAGGGCATGTGTCTTATCAGGTGACAGCCTTATTAGGGGTTTGTGTCTTATTAGGTGACAGCCTTATTAGGGCATGTGTCTAATCAGGTGACATACATATTAGTGCATGTGTCTTATCAGGCGACAGCCTTATTAGGGCATGTGTCATATCAGGTGACAGCCTTATTAGGGGTTTGTGTCTTATTAGGTGACAGCCTTATAAGGGCATGTTTCTTATCAGGTGACAGCCTTATAAGGAAATCTGTCTTTATCAAATGACAGCCTTATTAGGACCTGTTTTGTTTCAGATAACAGCCTTATATCAAAACCAAAGTTATTGAACCACAGTTAAGCAAGTTATCTTGAGTGGGCATAGGCCCCCCTTTATTGTAATCTTTCCTAATATTTGATGGAAATATAAAATGTCAGCATTAAGGAAGACAGTGGTCAATAGAATATACTTCATACACAGCATCTGCATTGTAAAATGTGGTACAGGGTGCTCGTTGTATCTATGGACTAAGTATGACTGCTTTGGCACTTGTTTTTTTCTGAGAAAAGCTTTGAATATGAAAATATATGAGCTAAATGAAAATGTTGATGCTGCTACCTCTGCCTCTGACAGAAAAGTGACACTTTAGTCTTGTATTAATTCCTTCACCCCTAAAGACACATTTGAGCTCTTCAGATTCAATGGTTGGACTATAGGTCATTATGAAATTTCAGGGTGAATAAGTTAACTCCTAAAACCTGACGAATAAAACAATTGCGAAGAGAACCTTTTAATGTAGTGAAAAATAATGCTCCTAATCAGTACTCACCAGCAGATTTCTAATCAGTACTCACCAGCAGATTTCTAATTAGTACACACCAGCAGATTTCTAATCAGTACACACCAGCAGATGTCTAATCAGTACACACCAGCAGATGTCTAATTAGTACTCACCAGCAGATGTCTAATCAGTACTCACCAGCAGATGTCTAATCAGTACACACCATCAAATGTCTAATTAGTACTCACCAGCAGATGTCTAATCAATACACACCAGCAGATGTCTAATCAGTACACACCAGCAGATGTCTAATCCGTACTCACCAGCAGATGTCAAATCAGTACACACCAGCAGACGTCTAATTAGTACTCACCAGCAGACCTCTAATCAGTACTCACCAGCAGATTTCTAATCAATACACACCAGCAGATTTCTAACCAGTACACACCAGCAGACGTCTAATTAGTTCTCACCAGCAGATGTCTAAGCAGTACACACCAGCAGATCTCTAATTAGTTCTCACCAGCAGATCTCTAATCAGTACTCACCAGCAGATGTCTTATCAGTACGCACCAGCAGATCTCTAATCAGTACCCACCAGCAGACGTCTAATTAGTTCTCACCAGCAGATGTCTAATCAGTACACACCAGCAGATCTCTAATCAGTACACACCAGCAGATTTCTAATCAGTACACACCAGCAGACGTCTAATTAGTACTCACCAGCAGATGTCTAATCAGTACTCCCCAGCAGATTTCTAATGAGTACTCACCAGCAGATGTCTAATTAGTCCTCACCAGCAGATGTCTAATGAGTACTCACCAGCAGATGTCTGATCAATACACACCAGCAGACGTCTAATTAGTACTCGCCAGCAGATGTCTAATCAGAACACACAGCAGATCTCTAATCAATACAAACCAGCAGATTTCTAATCAGTACACCCCAGCAGATTTCTAATTAGTACCCACCAGCAGATGTCTAATCATTACACACCAGCAGATGTCTAATCATTACACACCAGCAGATGTCTAACCAGTACACACCAGCAGATCTCTAATCAATACACACCAGCAGTTTTCTAATTAGTACTCACCAGCAGATGTCTAATCAATACACACCAGCAGATTTCTAATCAGTACACACTAGCAGATGTCTAATCAGTACACACCAGCAGATGTCTAATCAGTACTCACTAGCAGATGTCTAATCAGAACTCACCAGCAGATGTCTAATTAGTACTCACCAGCAGATTTCTAATCAGTTCACACCAGCAGATCTCTAATCAGTACTCACCTGCAGATGTCTAATCAGTACGCACCAGCAGATGTCTAATTAGTACTCACCAGCAGATGTCTAATTAGTACTCACCAGCAGATGTCTAATTAGTACTCACCAGCAGATGTCTAATTAGTACTCACCAGCAGATGTCTAATCAATACCCACCAGCAGATTTCTAATTAGTACTCACCAGCAGATGTCTAATCAGTACTCACCTGCAGACCTTTAATCAGTACTCACCAGCAGATTTCTAATCAGTACACACCAGCAGATGTCTAATTAGTCCTCACCAGCAGATGTCTAATCAATACTCCCCAGCAGATTTCTAATTAGTTCTCACCAGCAGATCTCTAATCAATACACACCAGCAGATTTCTAATCAGTACACACCAGCAGATCTCTAATTAGTACTCACCTGCAGATGTCTAATCAGTACTCACCAGCAGATGTCTAATTAGTACTCACCAGCAGATGTCTAATCAGTACTCACCAGCAGATGTATAATCAGTACTCACCAGCAGATGTCTAATCAGTAATCACCAGCAGATGTCTAATCAGTACACACCAGCAGATGTCTTATCAGTACACACCAGCAGATTTCTAATCAGTACACACCAGCAGATCTCTAATTAGTACTCACCTGCAGATGTCTAATCAGTACTCACCAGCAGATGTATAATCAGTACTCACCAGCAGATGTCTAATCAGTATACACCAGCAGATGTCTAATTAGTACTCACCAGCAGATTTCTAATCAGTTCACACCAGCAGATCTCTAATCAGTACTCACCTGCAGATGTCTAATCAGTACTCACCAGCAGATGTCTAATTAGTACTCACCAGCAGATGTCTAATCAGTACTCACCAGCAGATCTCTAATTAGTACTCACCAGCAGATTTCTAATCAGTACACACCAGCAGATCTCTAATCAGTACTCACCTGCAGATGTCTAATCAGTACTCACCAGCAGATGTCTAATCAGTACTCTAATTAGTACTCACCAGCAGATGTCTAATTAGTACACACCAGCAGATCTCTAACCAGTACTCACCTGCAGATGTCTAATCAGTCCTCACCAGCAGATGTCTAATTAGTACTCACCAGCAGATGTCTAATCAGTACTCACCTGCAGACCTTTAATCAGTACTCACCAGCAGATTTCTAATCAGTACTCACCAGCAGATTTTTGAGGGAAGCATCAGGGAGGTGATTGGAAAACAATTCCATTTGTTCCGGTGTGGGCTGCAGTCCAGCAGACTACAGAGAATACAAAAATTCTTCAGAAACCACCAAACACTGTGGAACTTTGAATTCCTTATTGAATCCTCATTGCACTTCAATATAAATGCTCCTTCGTTGTGACATCAAACTTTTTTCCAAAACAGTTTCCTATTAACCCTTTCACACCTATGTAACTTCATTAGGCTCTACCTTACATTGATATAACAATAATGATAATAATTTGAGGTATTTATATAGCGCTTTATCACAACCTAGTGCGTATGTCATCTCAAAGCGGTTCACAAATTATCATTATTAGTGAGTGTAAGTATAGTTAATTGTATGAATGTATGATTGAGTGTATGAATTGAATAAAATAATATAAATAGCTAATTAATTACATGTATATATATAATATCATACTTACACCATCATGGAGAAGACTGATATAGGCCTAGCCTGTTATCTGATCCATTTATATATGTTTATTTATATATATACTAAAATTTGTTAAAACAAAAAAAAACAAATCATTATCCGTGGTTATAGGGCCTTTGCAACCAGCCAATATCTTTCTCACCTCCCTGGGGAGCATACAACCGGTGCTGCTATTTCGGTGCTCACAGCTAGCATTCTACAATTCTAGCACTGCCCAACCACATACTCATTACAGCTGAGTAGACTGGAACAAGTGGAGTAAAGTATCTTGCTCAAAGATACAACACAGTGCAGTGCCGTGACTCGAACCCGCAACCCTTCGGTCACGAGCCAGGCGTTCTACCACTAGACTACCGTGCCTCCGATATGAAAAAGTCCATTATGGTCTACAGTGGTGACAGGGTTAACAGTCATATAACTGGTATCAATTAAATAACCTTTCCAGACAAATTCACTACTAACCATAAAATTTGTTGCATAAATGTTGATCTCCTTTGTAATAGAGTGCCAGTCTAACAGTAAGGTTTGTGTGTCCAATGTGAAGCAGAGGTAATAGTTTTTTGACAAACAAATAAAAATATATCAAGAAAAATGTCCTTCTTTCATGTTTGGACTAAATTTTATAACATTTCCTAATACATACATGTGAATTGTGTCTGACTTATGCAGACATATTATAAACTAACGGTAGTTTGCATTTTAGTTTTGGTCAGGTATGTCTAAACCCTGCCCTCCATATATTTTTGCCAAATTCTACAGTGATCAGCCTGTCAGTTCAGAACTGAGCCTGCCATTTCATTTTTAAGGCAATTTGATGTAATACTGGTAAATGTGTCTTACCTGTAAAGGTATGACCTTGTGTGTGACTATTTGATGTTATTCTGGTAAATGTGTCTTACCTTAAAATGTATGACCTTGTGTGTGACTATTTGATGTTATACTGGTAAATGTGTCTTACCTGTAAAGGTATGACCTTGTGTGTGACTATTTTATGTAATACTGGTACATGTGTCTTACCTTTAAAGGTATGACCTTGTGTGTGACTATTTGATGTAATACTGGTACATGTGTCTTACCTGTATAGTTATGACCTTGTGTGTGACTATTTGATGTAATACTGGTAAATGTGTCTTACCTGTAAAGGTATGACCTTGTGTATGACTATTTGATGTAATACTGGTACATGTGTTTTACCTTTAAAGGTATGACCTTGTGTGTGACTAGTTGATGTTATACTGGTACATGTGTCTTACCTGTATAGGTATGACCTTGTGTGTGACTATTTGATGTAATACTGGTAAATGAGTCTTACCTTTAAAGGTATGACCTTGTGTGTGACTATTTGATGTAATACTGGTAAATGTGTCTTACCTGTATAGGTTTGATCTTGTGTGTGACTATTTGATGTAATACTGGTAAATGTGTCTTACCTGTAAAGGTATGACCTTGTGTGAGACTATTTTATGTAATACTGGTACATGTGTTTTACCTGTAAAGGTATGACCTTGTGTGTGACTATTTGATGTAATACTGTTAAATGTGTTTTACCTGTAAAGGTATGACCTTGTGTGCGACTATTTGATGTACTACTGGTACATGTGTCTTACCTGTATAGGTATGACCTTGTGTGTGACTATTTGATGTAATACTTGTAAATGTGTCTTACCTTTAAAGGTATGACCTTGTGTGTGACTATTTGATATAATACTGGTAAATGTGTCTTACCTTTAAAGGTATGACCTTGTGTGTGACTTTTTGATGTTATACTGGTACATGTGTCTTACCTGTATAGGTATGACCTTTTCATTCTTTAATTCGTGCAATGAATAAAGATCAGATTTTTTGAAGGTTGTCACATATCCTTTGGGATAAATGTGTCCAAATCTGCCTGCACGTCCTGCAATATGCCGCACTAAAGAGCTATTGATCCGTCCCCATCTTCTGTTGCCTTTTGATAATGAGTGGAATACAATCCTCCTGATATTCCTTAAACAAAACAAAAAATGTTGTAGGATAAGATCAAGAATGTTAAATACAGATTAAGAAGGTTTGTAGCAAGGTTAATAAGGTCTGTATCAAGGTTAATAAGGTCTGTATCAAGGTTAACTAGGTCTGTTTCAAGGTTAGTAAGGTCTGTATCAAGTTCTGTATCAAGGTTAACTAGGTCTGTATCAAGGTTAATAAGGTCTGTATCAAGGTTAACTAGGCCTGTATCAAGGTTAACTAGGTCTGTATCAAGGTTAATAAGGTCTGTATCAAGGTTAATAAGGTCTGTATCAAGGTTAACTAGGTCTGTATCAAGGTTAGTAAGGTCTGTATCAAGTTCTGTATCAAGGGTAACTAGGTCTGTATCAAGGTTAATAAGGTCTGTATCAAGGTTAACAAGGTGTGTATCAAGGTTAACCAGGTCTGTATCAAGGTCTGTATCAAGGTTAATAAGGTCTGTATCAAGGTTAACTAGGTCTGTATCAAGGTTAACAAGGTGTGTATCAAGGTAAACAAGGTGTGTATCAAGGTTAACAAGGTCTGTATCAAGGTTAACTAGGTCTGTTTCAAGGTTAACTAGGTCTGAATCAAGGTTAACAAGGTCTGTATCAAGGTTAACAAGGTCTGTATCAAGTTCTGTATCAAGGTTAAAAAGGTGTGTATCAAGGTTAACAAGGTGTGTATCAAGGTTAACTAGGTGCGTATCAAGGTAAATAAGGTGTGTATAAAGGTTAACAAGGTCTGTATCAAGGTTAATAAGGTCTGTATCAAGGTTAACAAGGTGTGCATAAAGGTTAACAAGGTGTGTATAAAGGTTAACAAGGTCTGTATCAAGGTTAACAAGGTCTGTATCAAGGTTAACAAGGTGTGTATAAAGGTTAACTAGAATTTTGTTTTTGTGAACAAAAACATATATGTCCCCTTAATTGGTATAAAAGTAACAGCCCAGAAATGATCTTCCTGAAAACTTTGCACTCGAGGTCAAGGTCACAGTTACCTAGCAACAATGCACTGTTTATAGTATGTGGGTTTGCAGATATACACCTTTGCGTTTTCAATGTTTACAACAATGAGAATTTTTGACCTTTGACCCTGGGGTTAAGGTCACAATTACATAATGAAAGTGCACTGCACAACATTTATGGGTGATGCAGGTATACTTCAAGTTTCATCAAGATATCTTTAATGGTTTAACAGTTACAGCCTGGACAAGATGTTCCTGAAACATTTGCACATATTTGACCACTGACCTTGGGGTCAAGGTCACAATGACCTTATGACAGTGCACTGCACATCATGTATAGGTGATGCAGGTATACTTCAAGTTTGATCAAGATATCTTTACTTGTTTAGAAGTTATGCTGTGGACAAACTTCATTATAAAAAATAAACAAATGGGTCATTACTCTGTATATAGTGGGGCACAATACCCTATTTCAGTGCCAGAGATTCCCCCTTCCCAAGATACATAAATATGGTAAGGGTTTGGTCAACGTAGGTGAAATAACATGGAACTTATGCTCCTGACAAACTTGGGTATTATAAATAAACAAAGGGCCATAACTCTGTATATAGTGGGGCACAAGACATAATTCCAGTGCACTGCACACCTTCTGTGGGTGATGCAGGTATACTTCTGGTTTGATCAGGATATCTTTAACGGTTTAAAATTTACGGGCCGGACAAGAATTTACTGAAAATGATGCACTTATTTGACCTTTGACCTTGAGGTGAAGGTCGCAGTGACCTAATTCAAGGGCACTGCACACCTTCTGTGGGTGATGCAGGCATACCTCAAGTTCATCAAGATATCTTTAACAGTTTAAAACTGATGGCCCGGACAAGTTGCAAGGAGAAGAACCAGAAGAAGAACCAGTACTAAACCAATATGTCTCCCTTCATTCGAAGGAGAGACATAATACTTTGATATGGATTTATAAGTCTAGAAATCAATCATTTAACAGGGTCAACACCCATCATACTCACAGATTCAAACCAAGTCCGACTGCATCAGTTGCCACCAGCACCTTACATGGGTCAAGGGGGTCATTAAATTGTTTGGCTTGGGCAATCTTTGTTGCTATAGAAACAAGAAAGATAACATTTTTTAAGTAGATTGACCTCGTGTGATAGTTTTAAGAGTCCTAGAACACTGTTTTTTCTGGTCTGGTGTCATTTCATACTTTCATACAAGGTTATAGATTGTTCTTGACACACAAAATGGAAGTATACATACATTAGAAACTCTTACACAAGGAGGACCATACTGTAAAATTTAATAACCAAACTTAACTTTACTATGTGACATGTGTAACAATGCATGGCAATACTATCGCAATTTTCCTTATCTACAATGTATTTATAGTAACATTTACCTTGATGTCGGAGTCTGAAAAGCAATCCCTGACACCCCCCCCCCCACAAAAAAAAAGACATGATAGAAAAAATCATATGACTAACGCTTATGCCTACCTTTTGAATATCATGTTAATAATAATATCCTGTGTGAAAACAAAACAAATTCCACACATTTATAGGTCAGTTCAATGATCAAATTTCACATTGTTGACTACACATCTGGGACGGTCGCATTTTGTACATGTTTTGCTAGTTAAGAATCTACATGACAAAGACTAAGAGTTCATAATATAGTATTTGTGTGTGGGTGCGGTTCTGTGCACATGAAAGACTAATGGTATTTATTTCATTTATTCCAGTACTTTCAAATGATATATCTTTCATTACCAAGCAAGCACAAACTAAAATGTCCGCGCTTTTTTTTTTTTTGAATCTCAATGGAAAGTTTTTAACTTGTCAGTTTCATTAGCGACCTATGGACCTGAAAAAGCAATCCCAAGCAATTTCTTTCTTCAAGAAAACAGCTGATGAAGTTCAGGTGTTATGATGAGAAATTGAGCTACTGATACTAGTCAGAAACCACTTTTTATTCATGGTTTATTCATACTTTGAAGGACAAAATTCAAGCACACTGACAATTTTCAAAAGTCCAAGGGGAAAAGTTGTCAAGAATTCCTATGTATTTGTACTATACAGATACCACTGTAAAGCACAAATTGAAAAAGAATCATACAATATTTAAAACAAGGCATCACAAGTGATACAAATCCCCTCGCATTCACACGTTGTGTGACATAGGTATTATCATGGACAACACTTGTATTGACTTTCATGTTGCAAGGGGATAATAAATTATTAAGGTTTTTATGACATTATTTTACAAACACAAATCTTTGTAACAGTATTCAATTAACAAGACTTTCCGGACCCAAAATCAATCCCATGCAGGAAAGTCCATAAAGAACCAGAGCATGGAGTTTGAGTTTGATAAACCAAAAGTAATTTAAGTAATTGTTTTTTCTACTGAGGTATTTATAGCTTCTGTGACCTTGACTATTGACCTCAAAAGACCTTTGACCTCTAGACTGAAAAACCTCCAAAGCAAGCCCTTCATTTGGCCCACAGAAAAACAAGTTATTGTGTGGAAATGGTGGTTGGACGGACGGGCGGACGGACGGATGGACGGATTACAATTAAACAATTAAACACCTTATCTGTTACATATATGCTGTAAAGTCTGGCTATAAGTACCTGGAGGAAGGTTGCCATAGATAATGGCAGTCAGGACTCCTCTTTTGTTTAGTTCAGCTGATACATCAAATATTACTTCTTTGCTAAAACAAATGATGCAGTCTCCTGGCATGACATTTTCATATTTCTCTGAAACAAAGATATTTTACTATTAAAAGTTTGACATATATTCTATTGTCAATAATAATATACGGTCAATTTAAAATATACTATTTATAGTGATCATACAACAGGTTTTATATTAAAATCCAACTATTTGTAGTTGTAGTTGTTTTGTAATAGACTTATCATAATATACCATTTGTAGTGGTCTTATAACACATTTATCATAATATGCTATTTGTAGTGGTCATATACTTGTAACAGATTTATCATAATATACTATTTTTACCACATAATGTACTGTGTTATCCAGTGAATACACCCATGCCATATTTTTTTGCATATTAACTCATGTTATATGACCTATCAGCCCTGTGATTTGGTTGTAAGTTTCAATTGTTTCAATTGTGACATCAAGTCTAGGACAAGGACATGACGTCAAAGACATAAGCACTGAAGTCAAAATGGTAGCTTTTTACATTCAAGTTTGCATGAAAATTGTTGTTTTACACGAATAAAAGCCACAAATCTTGACAATGTGATAAAAAGGATCTTAAAATCGTTTTCATTTCATATGAAATTTATGAAACGCATCACGAATTTTTCATTTTTAGCTCGACAGAGGCTCGCTAAATTAAAAAATTCTTAGACTCGTTTCATAAATCTCATATGAAATGAAAACTCATGTTAGATCCTATATGTTATGTAGTGGTCTTATAATAGATTTATCTTAATGTACTATTATAATATACTACTTACAGTGGTCTTATAATAGATTTATCTTAATGTACTATTTGAAGTGGTCTTAGAACACATTTATCATAACATACTTCTTATAGTGTGCTAACAACAGGACTAATCAGTATTGTAACATTGAGACGAGAGTAAAACCTGTATACATATATATTTCCAAACTGATGAATCTTACTGAAGACTCTTTGCAAGTGGGCTCAGACAGATTTATCATAATGTACTATTTGTAGTTGTCATATAAAGGACTGATCCTTTTTAGATTTTGTGTTGGTGGTTGTGGTAGAACTGCCAATGGACCCACATACCTATCAAGTGTTTTGTTCTCCCTAGATTTTAAAACAGCCAGCTGGGTCTGTGTGTATCAATAAATGTTAGTGTTCAAGCTAAGAACACAAGTACTCACATGATGATCAACAGCAGACAATAATAGAACCATTGTATCTACACCTGTATAATTGATCACCTAGTGTTTACCTACCTAAAGCTGTACTCAGGTACATCAATGGGTTCAATCTGGTATATTCGTTAACCTGCAATGCAAAAGTGCAAGTTTTAATTTAAATTTTGTAAAAACATGCAATATCATTTGTTGAACCGACTGTCATATAACATTGGCTGTTTTGATGATATTAAATCAAATCACAAACTAATATAGTGACTTTAAAACACGAGGCGAGAGATCTTTCAATAAAGGTCAGTAGCTTTACCTTTACAAGGTCAAAGTGATCTTGCAACTCAAGGTCACAGTGACCTAACAACTCAATGTCACAGTTATCTTGCAACTCAATGTCATATTGATCTTACAATTCAATGTCTTTAGAACACATGGTCAGTGACTTCACAACCATAGGCCATAGTGACCTTACAACTCAAAGTCACAGTTATCTTGCAACTCAATGTCACAGTTATCTTGCAACTCAATGTCATATTGATCTTACAACTCAATGCCATAGTGACCTTACAACACAATGACACAATGACCTTACAACACAATGGCACAATGACCTTACAACTCAATGTCATATTGATCTTACAACTCAATGTCATATTGATCTTACAATTCAATGTCTTTAGAACACATGGTCAGTGACTTCACAACCATAGGCCATAGTGACTTTACAACAGTCAGTGACTTCACAACACAGGGTCAGTGACTTCACAACCATAGGCCATAGTGACTTTACAACACAAAGGACAGTGACTTCACAACCATAGACCATAGTGAATTTACAACACAGGATCAGTGACTTCACAACACAGGGTCAGTGACTTCACAACCATAAGCCATAGTGACTTCACAACACAGGGTCAGTGACTTCACAACCATAGACCATAGTGACCTTACAACCATAGACCATAGTGACCTTACAACCATAGGCCAAATCGACTTTACAACACAGGGTCAGTGACTTCACAACTATAGGCCATAGTGACTTTACAACACAGGGTCAGTGACTTCACAACTATAGGCCATAGTGACTTTACAACACAGGGTCAGTGACTTCACAACCATAGGCCATAGTGACTTTACAACACAGGGTCAGTGACTTCACAACAATAGGCCATAGTGACTTTACAACACAGGGTCAGTGACTTCACAACCATAGGCCATAGTGACTTTACAACACAGGGTCAGTGACTTCACAACCATAGGCCATAGTGACTTTACAACACAGGGTCAGTGACTTCACAACCATAGGCCATAGTGACTTTACAACACAGGGTCAGTGACTTCACAACCCTAGGCCATAGTGACTTTACAACACAGGGTCAGTGACTTCACAACAATAGGCCATAGTGACTTTACAACACAGGGTCAGTGACCTTACAACACAATGACACAGTGACCTTACAACAAATGGAAAACTTGACTGTACTGTTGAAAGATTATTGATCCGAAATGATTTTGATTGAACCTACCTCTACAGTATCCCCCGTCAAAACGGCCAAGTTTTTTATCAAAGGAACTGCAGCTTCTTCACCACAGACATGGATTTCATCGGCCTTCAAACCAAGGAAGGCTTGAGTCCACGCCCAGCCTCGATCCAAATTCTGTATCATCTGGATCTCGTCAATCACAGCTACATCATCTGATACACCATAACACAGGTTTACTGACTGATACACTGATCCTAAACATTAAGCTGATGAAACCATTGCTTGCCAGTGAGCGATACAAATTAGGCAATGGCATTCAAAGGAATGAACTCCTCCCAATTATATGTATGAGTACTTTGATGATTCATTTTCATTCTTATACTGAGTGGACAAGCTTTAACCATCAATTGAAAAAAAACAAAAAAACTTAGATCAATATATTTTGTGACTAAAAAGGGTAACTTATAATTGCCTATTCAAGTTAAGTGTCTGAAAAGAATTTAAACCAAGCATCAATAAAGTAATTATTCTGCCAATCAGGCCTGCATGAAATTAAAGGACAATTATTCAATATGAAGGAGGATATATATGTATTCATTATATTAAGAAAAGTTTTAAATAGCTTATCTCATTCACCCCTGAAGAAATATTTGAACTCTTCCAATTCAGGGGTTGGAATAGTTCATTATACAATTTCAGGGTTGAATGAGTTAAAGTTAAACAAGATCTGTTGGAGAACAGCATGTAGCTTGCCTATTCATAGAATATTCAATAAGTAGTTACCTGGTATGTCAAAAACAGGTGAAAAATTTAATTTGATTTCTTTTTCTTTTTTTACTTTCATACAACAATATTTGATCCCTCAGGACCCCCGTGCCAAATATCACCATTTTGGTAGAGTTATTGATTGTTAATATATATTTTATTGTGACTTTCAACACTATTAAGTTTAACCTAGAGATTGTAGCATAAACAGTTCAGTCCGAAACAGGTCTGAATTAAAATAAGATTGATTTTTTCCGATTTAGTTCTGTACAACAATCCTTGACCCTTTCAGAATCTCCATACCAAGTATCAGTATCCTACTCTGGTACCAATAGTTCTGTTTTATTCATAAATTTAAACACTTGCATCAAAACCAGCACCAACAGTCACTGGGTTGATTTTATTAGCCCGTCTGCCCTACCTCACTTCTTTAAATAGGTAAGCCAAAATTGGTTGAAAGAACGTAATAGTTACACATGCACTATCTAAGATGTTTTGATGTTTTTTGTTGTTTTTTTTTTGAAAATCTAAGCTAGATAGAGAAGGCTTTTTTTGACTGAAATATTATAAATCAAGGGTCATAACTCTCTGAATAATCATAGAAAAAACATGACAGTCAGCCATTCCATGGTGTAGTAACAGTATGTGATGGGTAGAATGTGCACACATTTTCATTAGAATTGTTGCAGTACTTTATGATGATGTTCAGCAATATAAGCAGACAACCTGATTCCAGTATACTCTCTTTCTAATGTTTGACAGAGTGAATGATAAGTTAAATAAAACACCCCTGGCCATTAGACCAGATCTGTTAGGTCTTGTGTTGCACTATCTACTTACAGTTGTCTTTCAGGTTAGTCATTTCTACAGTACATGCCACGTGATTTCCAGGTTGGTTGTTCTCGTCAGCAAATGTTACAAGCTCACCTGTCTTCAGGTCACATGGGACACCCTAAAAACAGCGACTGGTTATTCTCAAAAAATCCTTCATGTACACATCCGTTAAAACCTGATCTTACAATGGCAATTTTCACACTCACTTAAAAATTGTTTATTCTAGCAACTTAATATCTTGTGTAGACCAGATAGACTGTATATGTGTAGACCAGATAGACCCTATATGTGTTTCCTTTATTTAATGTCTTGTGTAGACCAGATAGACCCTATATGTGTTTCCTCTATTTAATATCTGGTGTAGACCAGATAGACCCTATATGTGTTTCCTCTATTTAATATCTTGTGTAGACCAGATAGACCCTTTATGTGTTTCCTCTATTTAATATCTTGTGTAGACCAGATAGACCCTATATGTGTTTCCACTATTTAATATCTTGTGTAGACCAGATATACTGTGTATGTGTTTCCTCTATTTAATATCTGGTGTAGCCCAGATAGTCCCTATAGGTAGACCCTTTATGTGTTTCCTCTTTTTAATATCTTGTGTAGACCAGACAGCCTCTATATGTGTTTCCTCTATTTAAGATCTTGTGTAGACCAGATAGACCGTATATGTGTTTCCTCTATTTAATGTCTTGTGTAGACAAGACAGACTGTATATGTGTTTCCTATATTTAATATCTGGTGTAGACCAGATAGACCCTATACGTGTTTCCTCTATTTAATATCTTGTGTACACCAGTTAGACTGTGTATGTGTTTCCTCTATTATATCTTGTGTAGACCAGATAGACTGTATATATAGTTAGACTGTTTATGTGTTTCCCCCTATATGTGTTTCCTCTATTTAATGTCTTATGTAGACCAGACAGACTGTATATGTGTTTCCTCTAATTAAAATCTGGTGTAAACCAGATAGACTGTATATGTGTAGACCCGATAGATTGTTTTTGTGTAGACCCGAAAGACTGTATATGTGTAGACCAGATAGATTGTTTATGTGTAGAACAGATAGACTGTATATGTGTAGAGCAGATAGACTGTATATGTGTAGAGCAGATAGACTGTATATGTGTAGAGCAGATAGACTGTATATATATAGACCAGATAGACCCTATATGTTTTTCCTCTATTTAATATCTTGTGAAGACCAGATAGACCCTATATGTGTTTTCTCTATTTAATATCTGGTGTAGACTCGATAGACCATATATGTGTTTCCTCTATTTAATATTTTGTGTAGACCAGATAGACCCTATACGTGTTTCCTCTATTTAATATCTTTTGTAGACCAGATAGACCCTATATGTAGACCCTTTATGTGTTTCCTCTTTTTAATATCTTGTGTAGACCAGACAGCCTCTATATGTGTTTCCTCTATTTAAGATCTTGTGTAGACCAGATAGACCCTATATTATATGTGTTTCCTCTATTTAATATTTTGTGTAGACCAGATAGACCCTATACGTGTTTCCTCTATTTAATATCTTGTGAAGACCAGATAGACCCTATATGTGTTTCCCCTATTTAATATCTTGTGTAGACCGGATAGACCCTATATGTGTTTCCACTATTTCATATCTTGTGTAGACCAGATATACTGTGTATGTGTTTCCTCTATTTAATATCTTGTGTAGACCAGTTAGACTGTGTATGTGTTTCCTCTATTTAATATCTGGTGTAGACTAGATAGACCATATATGTGTTTCCTCTATTTAATGTCTTGTGTAGACCAGACAGACTGTATATGTGTTTCCTCTATTTAATATCTTGTGTAGACTAGATAGACTGTATATGTGTTTCCTCTATTTAATATCTTGTGAAGACCTTATGTGTTTCCTCTATTTAATATCTTGTGTAGAACAGACAGACTCTATATGTGTTTCCTCTATTTAATATCTTGGGTAGACCAGATAGACTGTATATGTGTAGACCAGATAGACTGTATATGTGTTTCCTCTATTTAATATCTTGTGTAGACCAGATAGACTGTATATGTGTTTCCTCTAATTAAAATCTGGTGTAAACCTGATAGACTGTATATGTGTAGACCAGATAGACCCTATATGTGTTTTCTCTATTTAATATCTTGTGTAGACCAGATAGACTGTATATGTGTTTCCTCTATTTAATATCTGGTGTAGACCTGCAGATAGACTGTATATGTGTTTCCTCTATTTAATATCTGGTGTAGACCTGCAGATAGACTGTATATGTGTTTCCTCTATTTAATACCTGGTGTAGACCAGATAGACCCTATATGTGTTTCCTCTATTTAATGTCTTGTGTAGACCAGACAGACTGTATATGTGTTTCCTCTATTTAATACCTGGTGTAGACCAGATAGACCCTATATGTGTTTCCTCTATTTAATATCTTGTGTAGACCAGATAGACCCTATATGTGTTTCCTCTATTTAATATTTGGTGTAGACCAGATAGACCCTTTATGTGTTTCCTCTATTGAATATCTGGTGTAGACCAGATAGACTGTATATGTGTAGACCAGATAGACTGTATATATGTAGACCAGATGGACCCTATATGTGTTTCCTCTATTTGATATCTGGTGTAGACCAGACAGACTGTATATGTGTTTCCTCTATCTAATATCTTGTGTAGACCAGATATACTGTGTATGTGTTTCCTCTATTTAATGTCTTGTTTAGACCAGACAGACTGTATATGTGTTTCCTATATTTAATATCTGGTATAGACCAGATAGACCCTATATGTGTTTCCTCTATTTAATATCTGGTGTAGACCAGATAGACCCTATATTTGTTTCCTCTCTTTAATATCTTGTGTAGACCGGATAGACTGTGTATGTGTTTCCTCTATTTAATGTCTTGTGTAGACTAGATAGACCATATATGTGTTTCCTCTATTTAATGTCTTGTGTAGACCAGACAGACTGTATATGTGTTTCCTATATTTAATATCTGGTGTAGACCAGATAGACCCTATATGTGTTTCCTCTATTTGATATCTGGTGTAGACCAGACAGACTGTATATGTGTTTCCTCTATTTAATATCTTGTGTAGACCAGATAGACTGTATATGTGTTTCCTCTATTTAATATCTTGTGTAGACCAGATAGAC